AATGATTAAGGGTACTCTTGTCACATATAAAGGTACTAAAAGAAACGGTATTTATGTGATCACTGCTGAAATTGTTAAAAATTCAAATTCTTCTATAAATTTGACCAACACTGATGACACACATAATTGGCATAATAGATTAGCTCACATAAGTAATAAAGAACTTAAATTGCTAAATGATAAAGGTGCATTTGGAAAAGACTGTGTGTCTAATATGTCTTTCTGTGATCACTGTGTACTTGATAAACATCATAGGTTATCTTTTTTATCTGGTATGCATAAAACTACTAAAGTCTTGGAATATATTCATACTGATTTATGGGGGCCTGCTACTAATCCTACAATGGGTGGTAATAGTTATTTTATGTTCATAATTGATGATTACTCTCGTAGGGTGTGGGTTTATCTATTAAATGATAAAACTAAAACCTTTAAAATTTTTAAAATATGGAAATTGCAAGTTGAAACTCAAACTGGCAAAAAGATAAAATATCTAAGAACTGATAACGGCCTAAAGTTCTATAATAATGATTTTGATGATCTATGTGAAAAATGTGAAATTATTAGACCTAAAACTGTTCCTTATACACCTCAACAAAATGGGGTGGCTGAACGTATGAATCGTATTTTACTTGACAAAGTTAGATATATGATGTTGAGTTCTGGAATTCCTAAATCTTTTTGGGGTGAAGCTGTTATCACTGCATGTTATCTAATTAATTTTACACCTTCTACTGCATTAAATGGTGATACTCCACATGAAAAATGGTATGGTAAATGTGTTGACTATACTATGTTAAAAACTTTTGACTGTGCTGCTTTCTCTCATTAAAATGAGGAAAACTAGAACTTAGAGCTAGGAAATATGTTTTCTTAGGATATCCTGAAGGAGTTAAAGGGTATAGGCTTTGGGATAAAAGTCAAAATGGAATTAAGATCATCATAAGTCGTGATGTTACATTTAATAAGTCTGAAATACCGTGTCTAAAATCAGAAAGTGACACCTTTAGAGAAAAACAGCAAGAAAACATTAGTGAAGAATCTCAAGTAAATTTAAGGTCCTTAAGTGTTCAAACCCCCCACCACCTCAATTGAGGTGGAGCATCAAAATCCTGAACTAGAAGAAAATCAGAGTGAAAATATTGAGCGAGATAAAGTTATAGAGGAATATCAAGGAGAGCAAAACCCTTTGTTTGATTACCAATTAACTAGAGACAGAGTTAGAAGAACACATAGAGTGCCTCAAAGGTTAGAGTCTGATTTTGAGCTTGCTTATGCTAGCTATGAAGAACTAGTTGATAAGGAACCAAACATGTATGAAGAAGCCTTAAGGAGTGAACAATCTAAGGATTGGGTGAAAGCAATGAAAGAAGAGATAAATTCCCTCGATAAGAATCAAACATGGGAATTAGTCCCAAGACCTAAAAACAAGTCAATAATTGGGTGTAAATGAGTTTTTAGAATTAAGGAGGGAATTACCAAAGGAGAGGGTTTGAGGTTTAAGGTTAGGCCAAATGTTACACACAAAAGGAAGGGATAGATTATAATGAAATATTTTCTCCAGTTGTTAAGTATACCATAATTAGGACTATGCTTGCATTAGTTGCACATTTCAATTGGGAACTTGAACAATTTAATGTTAAAACTGCTTTTCTGCATGAAGAACTTGATGAAAAGATTCTCGTGGATCAACCTAAAGGTTTTGAAAGTAAACAAAAACCTGATCATGTTTGTTTTCTTAAACGCTCTTTATATGGTTTAAAACAATCTCCCAGACAATAGTGTAAACGTTTTAATTCGTTTGTTAAAACAATTGGCTTTAAAATGAGTGAATTTGATCATTGCTTGTACTATAAAGGTAATGTAAACAATAATGACTGTGTGTTTTTGTTACTATACATGGACGATATGCTTTTGATTGGTCCCAACTTGAAGTCGTTAAATGATATAAAAACTACTTTAAGTAATGAATTTGATATGAAAGACCTAAGTAATGCTAAAAGAATTTTAGGTATGGAAATTCAAAGAGATAGGTCTAAATCAATTTTATTTTTACATCAAGCTCCATATATCATGAAAATTTTGAAAAAATTTGGTATGAATGAATGTAAACCGGTTACATTACATTTAGCTAATCACTTTATATTATCTAAAGAACAATCATCTGCCAATGAAGAAGAAGAATATATGAAACGAATTCCATATACAAATGTCATTGGTTCTGTGATGTTTCTAATGATGTGTACTAGACTTGACTTAGCTTTGCTGTTAGTACACTTAGCAGATATATGTCCAACCCAGGTCCCAAACATTGGGAGGCTTTGAAATGGTTGTTTAGATATTTGAAAGGAACATGCAACGTTGGCTTAATATATAAGTTTAGTACTGAAGGAATAAAATTGAAAGGTTTTACTGATGCTATCTATGCTGGTGATAGAGATAATAGGAAATCTACATCATCCTACATGTTTACTTTGTGTAATTCATGTGTTAGTTGGAAATCACAACTTTAACATGTTGTAGCATTATCCACTACTGAATCAGAATACATTGCTGCTACTGAAGCCTTTAAAGAATCTTTGTGGTTTAAAGGTGTATTAAATGAACTTGGTGTTTTTAAAGACAATGTGACAATATATTCTGATAATCAATCTGCTATTCACCTATGCAAAAATCCTGTCTTTGATAAACGTACTAAACATATAGATGTTAGATTGCATTTTATTAGAGATATGGTTTCACAAGAACTGGTAAAATTTGAGAAAGTCCTTTCAGAATATAATCATGCAGATACGGGAACTAAGGTGCTCTCATTGGTAAAGTTTAGAAGCTGCCTTGATCTTCTAAACATCGGTACAAAATTGTAAGTTTCTTCCCTTAAGCTATTTGTTATCTTATCTGACTTGTAGGATGATTTGGCATCAATGTGGAAGTTATTGGGCATGTTTGGTAAGTGATGCCCAAATCCCTTAGACTATGATGAAAAATCGAGGCCCGTATAACTTCATAGGCTATAAGCCCAAGATTGAAAAATTAAATTCACATCACAATTGAAGTAGCCCAATTATGTTGGGTATTTAGAGGTAATCGGCCTATTGGGCTAGATGTTCAATACCCAACTTGAAGGTAATTTGAAAATCACATGAAAGATAGATAAATATTATTGTTATCTTTTTCAACCATTTTATCCCTTTTTTAGTTGAGCTCTACCTTTCAGTTTTGATATAATCTTGCAATTTTTTATTTAACCTAATCTTGCAAGATTTTGTAGAAAACCCATTTTTTGTGAAGCCTATAAATTGAAGACTCTTCTCTTCATTTGTACACCACCCAAGAACGAGAAAAAACTCTCTGCCTTGTGCAAAATTAAAACCTCCTCTACCTTTCTTTGTGAATCTGTCTTTGTGACTAATTATGGCCTTCAAATTGGAGATACCTTTGTGATATGGATCAAATTTCTGAGCCTAATCTAAAAGGGGAAAATCGTTCTTCAATTTTTCAGTTTTTGGTTCTTGATTTTAATCCTTTGCAAATCCTAAACTAATTAATTGTTTTGTTTGAATTGTAGGTGGGTTTGATCAACAGCTATATTTACATGGGATAATTTTAGGATTTCTTGGTTTCGATTTTGGGGGAAACGTGATGTTTGTGCTGTCTTTTGTTTGTGCTTACACTGTCGAGTCAGGTACTACACGCGACAGTGATGGAACCTTACCATTAGGGTGATCTAGATCAAGTGTGGTCGGTTGTAGTGTTTCTTGTGAAGTTTTGCTTCTATTCTAAAAAAAAGGTTGAATTCCAACCTTGAGGTCCTCACCGCCTCGTTTCTGGAGTATCGTGAGGGAAGTAAATTGCGAAATGTGTCCCAATAGGCAAGGAAACAAGAGTTTACCCGTACACTGGTGCCTACAAAGAGTCAAATTTCATATATCAGGAATCGAACCCTCACGTTGCGACTGCCAGCAAGACTAAGACTACTTCACTCCTGTCATTTGCACTACTGGATTATGCCCAAGAGAGCTTTGCTTCTATTTTATGTTGTACTTAAACCAATTGAACGAGCAGTGTACAGCACGAAATGGGTAAGTGTTGTTTCTACCTTCTGTTTACAGAACATGAATTACCATGAAGAGTTTGATAATTATCGCTTAGTGTGCATGAAAAGTATTAAGAAAAACCCAAGGGGTAATAAAGGAACGCAGTACTCTAGGAAGGGACGTGAGTTGAAGAGGGTGTTAATTAGAATATCCGTTATGCAATATCGATTACTACATACTAGCCACAAACTTATTTTTCACAGACCCATTTTTGATAAAATAATTTTACATATAAACCTAAAATTCTTCACTAATTTTTAACTTTATTCTCCAAAAAATCATTATTACATAATATAATTTTTTAAATGAAAAAAGGGTAGTCAAACACGCCCTAAACATTATTTCTTGGTTTAACTTAAATGCATGAAGTTAATTTAAGGTATAATTCATGATTCTCAGACATTAAGATAATAAACACATATGTATAACTCCCTCACGATGCTCCAGGGACGAGGCGGTGGGGCCCTCAAAGTTGGGGTTCAACCTTTAAGAAACAACACGAATGAAACCAAGTTCAAGACTTCAGTAAATAGATACTGGCAAAATGGAAATCTTAATTTCAACGCATCATTCTAAGAACTAACAATGAAAAAGGCCAATAGCACTAAACAAATTTCCCCCACTTAAAAGTGCATTGCAGACCCTAAAATCTCTTCTTGTTTCCCACCAGTTCTGTGTTTACAGTCCTCGTTTCTATATCAGAGTTCAACCGATCCATTCCCACACAACAGGGTTCTTCTCCCTACACGAACTGATGGGCNTTTACAGTCCTCGTTTCTATATCAGAGTTCAACCGATCCATTCCCACACAACAGGGTTCTTCTCCCTACACGAACTGATGGGCTGAAAATCGGGAAGCATAAGAAGGTGAGAAATTTAGATGTGTCGAAATTCAAACCCCATTCATAGTTTTTGACCAGATGGTGAGTTGGCTTTGAATTTGCTAGGGACGAGCACTGGTTCGTTGCTGGCAGCTTTCATTGCAGCAATTTCTTCCAAGCGCCTCCATGTTGCTTCACGCTTTGTCTCCATTTCTTTTTCTCTTGCTTCATCTTCTTGGAACTTGAGCAAACACTCCTCAAAGAGCTCGGGATCAACATCGGAGAAGATTTTCCGGACATTTAGTGTCAAGCTCCGCACTGCTTGGTTCCAGTGGTTTGTCACATTCTTCTCCAAGGAAGGAAAGATAATTGGCAGTATAACTTTACGATTTTGTTTGATTAGGTTCTCGATATGATCGTTGTTCCATAAAAACAACGCCCTCTCTGCCACCTGTAGAAACAAGAGTTAGATAATTTGTCGAAGAGATTTCATACTTCACAGTAAAAATGAAATGAATGGATTAGAAAATTCAACCTCAATCAACCAATGTCAGATTTAGAAAGGAAACACGAGGACAAGAAGAGGGAAAACTTATATATAACCGGATTTTAATCCATTTCCAAGTCCTCAATATGCCACTTGAATAACATGAGACTAGTCAAGCTATCAAGAATATTAATCATATGCACTCGTGTGCATACTTGTGTACATATTTGGTAGACAGCGTTGGACAATTATAGTAAAGCTTTAGTTTATTTTCCTTTTCGATATGGACTGGTACTGTATAATCCCATATAGCAAACATGCCATTAAAGTGGAATTGTGAAGGATCCCAATGAATGAATCCTACAAATGCTTGAAAGAACGTCAAGATTCAGCACTAAATCTTACATCACATGCCTTTAGAGTGATAAAACTACAGAAAACAACTTAGGATACTAAAAATAATAAACGTGGTGTGTTATACACCTCATATAAACCATCTCCTAAATGACAGGGAAACTATATATTAGCTAAAGAAGAATTTTATTAAGTTTTAACTGCAAAAAGGTGATGGAGACAAAATACAAAAGTTCCAAAGAGAATGCAGTGGAGATAAAAAAAAATTATAATTTTTTTTTTCTTCACGCTGTAAGTACATGCTTTATAGAAAGTAGAATAAAGATTACTCGAATAACTCATTAAAAAGAGATTAAGCAAATTTCTAAGGCACAGCAAAAACTTTGGACCGGCATCGTGCGGATGTGTACTGTTGAAGACAAAAATTAAAAAACTTGTCCCCTCTCTATCAGATCAAGCTTACATGGTTTAACATGTCAAAGCACAAAAACGTTCTAACTTCAAGTCTCATCACCACATGCTTACGAAAATCATGAACGTGTCAAGCCTTTGATGAAAATTAATTTAGCTTGCACATGAGGAATGTATTCAATTAATTTCTCCTCTCACTAGTAGCTTAGGCTTCTAGACAAGGTAGTTCCATATGTATTCATTACATTATTTCAATTTACTATGTTTAGCTAAAAAAATTATTTTGGAATTAAAATATTATCAATCCTTTTGCTTGGAACTGAGATCAAGGGATTATTCTTTTCAGCAGTGAACGGGCAAGCTCATGGACATTACTATGGATTGCATCATTGATGCCAGTTTCCTATGGTTATACATTTTAACCATTTCAAATGAAACAGAACTCGCCCAGCCATAAATCTCAATATGCAGTGAAGCTTTGTGCACATCAAGTTGATATATGCCACCATAAAGATACATAACCTCCCCAGTTATGATGGCCCTCATTGAAGGCATTTTTTTTTTGTCAATCAACTAAAATAGTTAATTGCAAATCAAGGATGGTCT